GGGCAACCAAATAGATAATGAGGGGCAATTTCTCTTGATAGAAATATACCCAGCTAATAAATGAAGAAAACAACAACAGAATTCACCATTTCTCACAGCCCCGAACAAATTAATGGACGTAACTATCAGTCATCAGTGACTGCTAATATCACAGAAAGACACTCACTAGGAGATATTAGTACTACTACCTCATCAGCAAAGGACTGTTACAAGGATCAACTAAGTCAGTGTATGTGCAAGTAGTTTTTACATGGCAAACTGCTACGCAAATACTAACAAACGTCAGGTGTCATTGTCTCCCAAGGCCATGCAACTGTCAGAAGGAAAATTCTTTCCCACTGATATGCTACATGGGCCAACAGATCATATGGGTTTCTGTATCAGTAGCAAAAAGTATTAGGAATAGAAAGCATGCAACTCAGAGAACTGTCTTTTCCTCTGATGCTCACACATGCTCAGGCAACTGCTTAAAGTAAGTGCTAGGGACATATGAGGTATTCCTTTCTATTAGACTACTACTACTCTTATTCCAAGCTTCATTTTCAAAATATAGAACACGAAAGCTGACAGCATTTCTTAAGCACATACAAAGCTTACTGCTAAATGTATAATTAAGGAAACCATTTGGTTCCTTCTTTGAACTATTACCCTTGAAAGAAGGCCTGGATTCGCCTTAATGTAAGATGATAACTACTGAATTGCTATGAACTAATACAGTATCTGAAAGGTTCTTTTCAATTAAGGGTTTCACTTACCTCTGGCTTATAATAGCGGTGAGTATATGTTAAATCAATAATCAGTCCAAGTTCTTCATTCTGTTCTTGGACTTTGTTAAAAAGATCCAAGGGGGAAAAACATTCTTCTGGAGCAAGATTCTCTTCAAAACTCTGGCAGAGAGAATGAGGTAAGAAAGAGCAGATGGGTGCTTAATATCCTTTATTTTATTACCCATTTATTCAAGCCCCGTGATGCTAAACTAACAATGAGATGCAAAGGAAAATTTCCACTCCTCTGGAAGTTACAAACTATTGTATAATGCTTTCTTTCAGAAAGATTAGAGGAAGAAAATAAGCTCACTTCTATAATTTATTTCTCTGTTTATTTGTTTCATGTTGGTCTCCCAGCCAGACAGTAAACTCCCGAAGGACCACATCAGTTTTGTCCCACACTGCATCTCCAGCTCCAAGGGGGGTGCCTATAAATAGGCACTTACAAATACTTCTAGAATATTTATATATGTGAAGTGGTTTTTGTTGCTAAACAATTTTTTATGTATTTGGCTTACTTATGTACTCTTTTCCATACTGATATGTTTGGTTATTCAGATGCCAGCAACATACTTTTTTATCAATTAACAGACTAGTTTTTAGAGCAGTTTCAGGTTCACAGAAAAACTGAGTGGAAAGCACAGAGAGCTCCCAATTATACCCTCTCTCCTTCACCAGACAAAGACTTACCATCAGTATTCCAGAACAGAGTGGTCCGTTTGTTAGAACCAATGAACCAACACTAATCTATCATTATCAACTGAAGTCCCTAGTTTATGTTATGAGTCACTCAGCATATTGTACATTCTATGGGTTTTGACCAGTATATAATGACAAGTATTTACCCTTACAGTGACATACAGAATAGTTTCACTGCCCTAAAAAGCACCTATGGTCTAGCAACACTTTAATACAGATTAATATCTGGTATGGCTAGATGCCCCCCTTCCACCATTATTATTCTTTTTCAAAAATTTCCTGGCTACTTAAGTCTACTCTTCTATATGAATTTTAAAATCAGCCTATTTGAGATGATAAATTTATAATTAACACAAGATTTGACAGATTTATGGTGTTGAGTCTTCTGCATAATATTGTAAAAGTTTTGAAGAGTAAATTAATTACATCAAGGCATATAATCTCTCCAGTTTCTCACAAAGTTGGAGCTGATGGGTCAAATACCACCTTCAGGTATCTGAACAATAACTAATTTCAGATAAACAATTTATATTAGGAAGCCTTCCTTGATTAACCCTATTATGGTTTTCCCCTCCTTTGAATTTACCATGTCAAATATTTGACATTTAACATATTCTCCTTTGTATTCCACTGTGCTTGAGGAGAGACTGGCAAGTACTGAGGCTGCTTTTCCTTGGTGACTTCCATAAAACACACAGGAGACCAATGTTACATTTCACTGCCACACAGAGATATTTCATCTTTCTGACTCTACTGCATGGATAGGGGGTTCACTGAGAGTGTTTATACAGCCCTGTTATCCCCTTTACAGTACCTTAATCCCAACATTGAATGAAACTACTTGAGTACACAGAGCCAGGAGAGACTTTTATAATGACAGTGTGCAAGAGACCTGGGGCCACGTGGAGGAAAGGAAACTGAAGAGTCTCCCTGTGCTTCTCTTGCTGGTGGGCTTCCAGACAGGCACTGAGCTGGGACCCTCGTGGAATCTCAGGAATCCACTTTTAGAGGCCGTGGAATAGGAGAGGAGATGGGACAATCACACAGAAAGGAGGAATACAGGAGCAACTTCTCAGGAGCTGCAAATGTGGGTGGGGAGGCCATTCATTCAACAAAAATTGTTAAGTATTTATTATATGTCAAAAACTCTATGCTTGGGGTTGGTGGATGTAAATAAGAACCACATGTTTATCTTTATGAAGTGACTAAATTTTTAAGAACAAAGATGCAAAAGAACTGACATAGCAAGTAAAAAAGGAACCCTGACCTATGAGTCACAAATTACATCAATTCCCCATACATTAAAAGTTGAGTTCTTCCACAGACAAATCCACGCTATGCTGGGCAGTTTCATTAGAGACAAGAACCTCTTCTCACCTTTTTTATGTCAGTCAAATGCTTTCCCCACCTATTCCTTTCTGAGTTCAATTTTCAGAGTTTCCATGTTGAAATTATGACCATACTGATCCACGTTATTTTTTGGGTTGTGACAGTGGTAACAAAGGTGTCTCAATGGCATTTAGTGCGTAGGGTCATAGATGACAGGCATCTGGCCAAATTCAGAACAGTCCTACAAATGTGTCTTACCCCCTAATGACTTCTGAATGTTCTAGTCGACATTCACGTAGGTGAAAAAACTGTTTGTAAGTTAAGCCTTAGAAACAAACTTCATTTCAAGAATAAACATGAAGGCTTTTTTTGCAGTTTTAATGTATAATCCATTTTCCAGGACAGTTGTCACCTTGTCAACCAAGTGAAGACTTTGCTTTACTTGGAAATCTACCAAGAGCTGTTCATTATTATGGAAACTCTGGCCACTTAGGCAAAATAACTCACCTATATCACTCCTCATTTAGTTTTTTGATTTGACGAAACAAGTAACTATTTCTTAATGTCTAGCATAGTCATGGCCATTTAACTACTGAAATATAAATACATATTACATTATTATGAATCTATCTTATTTATTCTTTATGTTATAGTTAGAGCATTACATTGTTTTCCTTCTTCAAAATTAAGTATGGAAATAGGTTGTACTTATATGAATTTCATTTCAGGATACCAAAGGGTATTTGCTACAAAGTATTTGCTACAAAAAAGAGAAAATGGGGTGTGACAGGGTTGAGAACCAGTGTTCTACACGGTGAATTTGGATTTCTTAAGGAATACTGCTTACCTTTTTCAAAGGAATTTTGAAAGCAATGAAATGGGTCCCTGGCATCCGCTGTCCAACTGGGATATATATAGTATTTCCACCTATTAAGACATTTTCTTAATAGCCAAATTTTAGGTCAGCCAGTCTCTCTGCAAAGATTGAACTCTCCTTGAAATTGAAAAGCAGAATCCAAAAGTAGGGCCTCTCTTCTCTCTACTCTGCATTTCACTGCTCTACCTATTCAACCCCACCTAGTATCAACCTACACTCCCCTTCTTCCTGCTTCCCCATCTTTAAAACAGACAAGGCAAGAGAATAAAGGGCTCAACAAGTAAGACACATCTAAAGCCAGAGGCGGCCAGAACTTCTGCATCCCCAATAAAATCAAGCCCAATCCTGAACACTAAGGTGCCATTAATACACACATGTTGACTGAAACAGTTTAACTCTTTCACTTTACACTTTATTTTTAGTCCTAGTACAACGAATGCCATCAAATGCAACCGTAGTGAACTTCAAATTCATATTTTAAAAGAAAATTTGATAGACAAGGGGGCCGTGAACTTCACTTAATAAGGCTAGGGGAACAGTAAAAGGTAGTATTTGAGCTGCCTTCGGTAGGATTTTATATAGAAATAACTTCAGGTTAATTCAGCATATCTTAGGTATAGAAAGTTAGGGCCAAAGTGACACAAGATGGGTCTGGGGAAAGAGAGGGGATTCTAGACCACGCAGTCTTAAAGGCCATGGAAAAGAGTTTGTTGTTATTCTTAAAGCAATGCTTTCCAAGATGACTATTAAAAAGATGTCTTATGTGAAGAACGGAGTGAACGGAAACAATAACCAATAAATATATACACTAATTAGGACCTAAAAGCAATAGATCAGGCAAGTTCTGTATTAGAATGCTGATGGAGGAGAGAGGACAGATTGAAAAGATATTCAGGGCATAAAATGAAGGGGACTTAATGACCTATGAGATGGCAGAAAGCAAGGTCTCAAGGAATAGAGTTCACTGAAAGCAAAGCCTCAAAATTAATCATTTGAATATACAGAGGGCGAGTTCTCAAATGAGACCTCTTAGAAAGCAACAGCACGCCCTTTGCGATTCCTGGAAACAATACACATTTTTTCAGTGAAAAGTTTGGTTGTACTGGAGGGTTTTTCATTCAACCTTTGCTCTTATTAATATTTTCTGTGCCAAACAGCGCAGCTTGAGGAATGCGGGGGCCTCCATTTTGGTAAGTGAGGGGTTTCCCCAACACTGACAGTCCCATCTTAAAGGGCAGTCCCTCTCTATTTCACCTGCGGAACCATGGCCCGCACCTCGCTTTTATGAGGCCCGCGGAGAAATAAAAAAATCATACTGTCCACGTCAGCTACTTTGAGGAGAGCAGTGAAAGCGTCACAGCCTCCCAGGAAGTGGCGCGAGGGCCACCCTCGGTGGCAGCGTTCAGGCAGCTATCGAGGCCCGGGAGCTGCAAGCGGGACGGGCCCGCACTGGGCCGAGGAGGCTCACCTTTTGGGGGCGTGGCTTCCACCCTTCCTCTCCCCGGAGGGCTGTCTGGAAAAGACGCCTCTCTGGCCCCAACGGTAGTGGGCAGGATGCCATTGGCTCATCTGGGCCCCAAGACGCCGTCCACCCAGCACCAAGAGCCCCAAAGCCGCCAGTCCGGCTCCCTCTAAGCCAGAGCAAGACTTCGGACCGGAAGAGTTCAGGCAGCAACACATGCAGCGCCTCGGCTCCTTCTACTGCGCATGCGGCACCGCCCCCACGCTGGCCGATGGGATGCTGGAGGCCACAGCGCCCTCCTTAGCCGGGGGTGGGTAGCGCAGGTCGATGAGCTTGCACACCCGCCAGAATTCAAGTAGTACAGGACATGGGATCAAAGTCAAGTCCCACTCCTCCATTTCCTTGTGTGGTTCTTTGGACATTTTCCAAAGGCTTACATTCACATTTACTGTATATGTTTTTAAATATATAAGTACCTATTTGTACATACATGGGTATCCTCTATTTTATATAAAAGCACCATACTATATGAAAGGGTATCTCGCCGGGACCCTCCTTATCCCAGAAGGACTCAGGAGACACGGGCCCACTCAAGAGATTTTATCTGAAAGAGAAAATGGCTGCCCCCAGAGAGAGGGAGCAGCAGGTCCTGGGTGAGGAAGCGTGCTTTTAAGGAGTCGGGGTAGAGTGTGTTCTGCGTTGGTCATTGGATCTTAAGGGGTGGGGGTCTCAGCGTGCCAGAACTTGCCTTCAGTTTTGAGTTTTGCGTCTTGGGGAAAGGGTCTTAAAAATTCAACTTGAAAAGATAAACAGATACATAGATATGTGGATACCTACATAGGTATATATTAAGTTAGCTCTATGAATATATATTTCTTCTCTGTTTATTTTCCTTTATTTCTTTTGTTTCTAAAGTAAGCATGTATTGCTTTTCTAAAACAAAAGTTATTTTTAATTGTAGTGAGATTAAGGAATCTAGTTAAATTCAAGTGTTCATCTGGAACAACAAAGGATTGAAAATGAGACAAATAAGAATTTTTTTGAAAAAATAACAAGAAAGACTTTAAAGAGTTACCCTAAAAATATAATTGAAACAAGATAGTTCTGCAGAATTCAACAGACTAAATAAAAGAAAGATGAGAAATAGATTTATAAATGAGAGAAAATTTAGTGATATAGATGGTTTTTATAACTGGTGAAATCCTAGCTTGTTCATTTATAGATATTAAGACAAAAAAATTAGCTGATTAATTAATTGCATTATAGAAATGAATTCTAGGTGGATTAAGTATTAAAATTTAAGAAATTCAAGACAAAAATGCTGTTTAAAAATATAAATTGATATATGTATGCTACAGATTGAATTATGTCCACTCAAAATCCACATGGTGAAGCTCTAAGCCCCAATATGACTGTGTTTGGAAATAGGGACTTATAGGAGATAATTAAAATTAAGTGTGGACATATAGGTGAGACCCTAGTCCAATAGGACTAGTGTCTCTATAAGAAGAGAAAGAGACACTACAGATCTTTCTCTCCATGAGTACAGAGGACAGGCCATGGGAGAACACAGAGAAGACAACAGTCTGCCCTCCAGGAAGGGGGTCCTTCCCAGAAACCAACCCTGTGGCACCTTGGCTGTGGACTTCTAGCATCCAGAGCTGTGAGAATATAAACATCTGCTCTTTCAGCCACCCAGTATTTTGTTATGAAGTCTGAGAAACGAATACAATGTGCAAAAGTGGAGGAAGGTAACCTGAACCTATGTCAGAGCCGGTCAGGTGGGGAAATCACAAAGAAAATGGACAGATTTGATGTAGAGGAAATTTGAACATTAGATTGGTTAGAAAAGAAAACTTCTAACAGCATTAAATGGCAGGCAATGTGCTACAAAATACCTGCAATCCATTCTATAAGAAAGAAAAGTAAAACTTTTAAGTTACTTTAAGAGATAAAAGGTACAGGAAACCTCAGGGAGGAGAGGGGCATCCTGAAAGGTTAGGAAAAAGTTAAAGTTACACACTTAGAAGGTGCCGGCAACCACAAAGAGACGAGCACACTGCAAGATTGGGGGTTCCCCCTTTTAAAGATTTTTCAGGAATGACAAAGTGCTGGGGGTGCAGACTTGTTAAGTGGTCTCAAGATATTTATCTTTGATGAGACATTAAGTTTCTTATCAGTCCTCTGGGTAATTCTGAAAAATTAACATAAGAAATTTTACTGCTCTGGTTCCCTCCCAGGATAGCAGCTTAGTGGTTTGGGAGCATATCAATTAAGACTGCCTGCCCAGCCCCCAATGTGGGCTGAGTTATGTCTGTTCGCTAAAGAGTGAGTTAAGAATCTTACTTTTTAACTTCCTGAGTGTTAAAATGCAATCTTATCTTTAAGATGGAATCCTTCCTGCCTTTTACTATGTTGTTTATGGCCGGGTCTGCATGCTAAATTAGTTGCCCAAGTTGCAAATTACTTGATTAGGGCTGAAGGAGAAAAAAAAACAGCGTATGGGTAGAATTAAAAAAAAATAAGTGGGGCCTGCATGATTAACACAATAAATACAAGGACTACACTGAGGTACCCTCTTTTGTATGGGGAATATTCAAACATTCCAGGCCAAGTTACTCCTGGCTTTTTGAGCTTTAACTAATTAACTCATTAACTCTGGGTCTTTTTTAGTGGGCTTTTCTGGCCTTATCTCTTTCCACCCCGCTCATATTTATTTTCCTGCCAAACATATGGGGACATCCAATGCCCAGGTGACTTCTAGATTAATACAATGGCAGTGTTTTTATGGACTGAGGGAAGATCACTTATTCCTCCTTGTGGTTTGGGCTTGGGAAGCTATTTTTGTCTATAACCCAAACTTGCCCTGAATCCTGTTTTCCTGCTTCTTGCATGGGATCCTTTGTGTAATCCAATCAGTTAAGAAAGAAAGAGACAAGGTTGGGGTGGGGGTGTGGGGGGGTTGCTGGGTGGAGGGAAAAAGAAGATGCTCTATCATGTGGTTGCAGTCACTTCACAGAGCAGGGAACCAAACACCACATCTGCCCTCATGAAGTCAGTGGGCTGATAGAGGGAAAGTGGCAGTAAGTGAAACAAATACATAAAATCAGGGGATAAACGCTGTGAGAGAAATTACAGCAGGTTAAGGAAGACATGCAGTAGCAGGGCCCAGTGAGTATGTGGTGGGGTAGGGCAATGTGAAGCGGATAATCAGAAAAGTCTCTAATTCAGAGACACAAGGAAGGAAGCAGGCAGTGAGCCAGGGTAGCTGGGGCTGAGTTCTGCAGTGTAGCCAATGACAATGGAAAGTGTTTTGTTTGGCCTGTGCAAGACACAACCAAGAGGCCAGTAACTGTAGTAACTAGATTGGAGAGAGAGGGAGAGACTAGAACACAGAGAGATGGGAGGAGGAGACAGATTAACTACATTCTTGTACCCTGTGGTAAATGGTAAATATTATATCTTTACTTATCAGATGAATATATTAATGGCCTAAAGAGCAGTTATAAAAAATAGCTTTGAAAAACTTTATAATTTGTTTATTTTCAAATGCATAATGTGCTACAAAAAATGGTTAAAATTGAAAAATAAAATTGTGATTATTAGTTTTATGCATCTTTTGAGAAGCATAACAAGTTTAGGTTAAAGGGGTCTAGACACTAATAAAATAAAAATCAGAGTCTGCAGTTGAAAACTGAGAGCAATGCTATTCCACTTAACATTTCTCAAGCAGTATAAGATATTTTTCTGTAATTTCTATAAAAATTTTTTGTGAAGAGATTAGTATTCTTCCTTAATTACATAATTCCATAATAATACATTTTATGCAACAGAAAATGTATGCTGACATTTAAAATAGTTAATTTTATTAAAGCACAGTTTTCCTTACTTAACTCCTACCCAAGAATGATCAATAAGTTAAATATTTTTATATGAAAAATCATAATGTAGATTTTTTTTTCCAGATCTACCTGCAAGAAGCTTGGAAGTCACTATTCTATCCCAGCAACAAATAAAAAAGCTGAGCAACTGAAAGATCAACAATTTTTCTCAGATCCATAAGAGAAAGGACACAGAGAAAACAGCTCACTGGAGAGGCCCCCCAGCGGGACATGAAGCCCTAGCTGCCCAGAGCAGGACTGCCGCATGGGAACTTCCACCATCGTCTGAGCCAGGGCAGGGACCCCTGAACTGTAACAGGAATGGTTGGGGGCTCAGTGCAAACAACTCAGAGGTGAAGACTCCCAGGCACCTGGCCACAGGGGGCACCCACACTGTTGTGATGTTTACCTCTGGGAGCCTGGCCAGGTTCCCACAGCAAATATGGAGAAAAATCTCTTCCTGCTGCCTGCCCTGGGAGGGGAAAAGGGAACACTGAAATACACCAGAGGGATTCCTAAGAAGGCCTGCCATTCAGAGAAATTAGTTAAGCAGAAACCACCCTGCTGGGGTATTATCAGAGCCTAACTGACTTGGGCAAAGGAGACACACAGTTCCAGCTGTCTCTAGCCATCTTGTCCTACCTAAGCAGGGAGAAAAATAATTGAGAAACACCTGTTAAGTCACAGTCCAGAGCATATGCTCACTAAAAGACCAAGACTTAATCACAGAACTATAGAACACTTCCCAACCCACCAACCTCAGCACCGCATAACTGGAAGCCTATTTACTGAGTTACAGCAGTCCTTTTTACCTGTGACTTCAAGTGCAGCCAGAAGAAAAAATTACAAGGCATACCAAAAGACAAATAAACACAGTTTGAAGAGACAGAGCAAGCATCAGAACCAGACATAGCAGGGATGCTGTAATTATCAGGGGAGGAATTTAAAATGACTGATGAATATGCTAAGTGCTCCAATGGATAAAGTAGACAGCATTAGAGAACAGATGGGCACTGTAAGCAGAGACATGGAAATCCTAAGAAAAAATTAAAAAGGAATGCTAGAGATCAAATCTACTGTAACAGAAAAGAAGAATGCCTTTGACAGATATTGACAAACTTATTCTAAAGTTTGTATGAAGAGGCAAAAGACCCACAGTAGCTGTAAGTCTGGGGAGAGGAGATCCCAAGGCAAAATACCTCTAAAAACCAAAATCAGTCAAAGGGAGAAATAAAGTTTAAAATCCATTTATTGCTTACAAGCTTCAGTCCAGGCCCTTTTCTCTTTCCTGC